AGTCCTGGAGCTTGAACTCAGGGCCTGGGCACTATCCCTGAGCTTCTTTTCCTCAAGGCTAGTGCTCTACCACTTGAGCCACAATACCACTTCTGGCCTTTTCTATTTATGTGGTGCTGAGGAATTGAACTCAGGGGTTCATTCATGCTAGGCAAACACTCTACTACTACTAAGTCACCTTCCTAGCCTTGGGCTGTCATCTTTATAACTTTTTTTTCCAGGTTTCCATTAATGATTATGTATGTGTTTGCATACCTGAAAATAAGAAATATATGTGTGTGAGGGCTGGGAAGGTGGCTCAATGGTAGAGTGCTTGCCTAGCATGCATGAAGTCCTGGGTTCAATTACTCAATACCACATAAACAGAAAAAGCTGGAAGTGGTGCTGTGGCTCAAGTGGTAAAGTGCTAGCTTTGGGCTGAAGAGTTGAGGGACAGCACCCATCTCAGAGTTCAGGGCCCACGACTAGCAAAAAAAAAAAAAAAAAAGAAAGAGAGAGAACTTTGAGAGTCTCTTAAAATAATTTAACTTCACTTAGAGAATAACCAAGTAATTTAACTTCCTATTGAAAAAAAGATATATTGTAATGGGGAGAAAGATGAAAGGGGTGTTGTTAATGTGTTTTGTACTTAACTGATTTGTTGAATGGTAACCCCTTTGTACACTACTTAAAGATAACAATGCAGTTGTTGTTTTTTCTTTGATCTGTCCTGGGGCTTGAATTCTGGGCTTGGGCCCTGTCCCTGCTCTCTTCAGCTCAATGCAAGTGCCTTACTGCTTGAGTCACAGCGCCACTTCTGGTTTTCTAGTGGTTTATTGGAGATAAGAGTCTCCAGTGGTGCTGTGGCTCAAGTGGTAGAGTGCTAGCCTTGAGCTGAAGAGCTGAGGGACAGCGCCCAGGCCCAGAGTTTAAGCCCCATGACCGACAAAAAAAACAAAACAAAAAAAATTTGGGGGCTGGGAAGGTGGCTCAGTGGTAGAGCGCTTGCCTTGCATGCTTGAGGCCCTGGGTTCGATTCCTCAGCACCACATAAGCAAAAAAAGAAAAAAGCCGGAAGTGGCACTGTGGCTCAAATGGTAGAGCGCTAGTATTGAGCTGAAGAGCTGAGGGACAGTGCCCAGGCCCAGAGTTCAGGCCCCACGACTGGACCCAAAAAAAAAAAAAAGTCTCAAGGACTTTCCTGCCCGGGGTGGCTTTGAACCATGATCCTCAGATCTCAGCCTCCTGAGTAGCTAGGATTACAGGCGTGAGCCACCGACACCCAGCTAACAATACAGTTTTAAGTAATTAATTAAGCTTGTCACTGGTGGCTGGCACTATAATCCTAGCTACTCAGGAGGCTGAGATCTGAGGATTGAAGTTTGAAGCCAGCCAGCACAGGAAAAGTCTGCAAGACTCCTAACTCCAATAAACTACTCAGAAAAACCTGGATGTGTCACCGTGGTTCAAGCACTAGACCGTTAGCTCTGAGCAAAAGAAGCTGAGGGGCAGCTCCCAGGCTCTGAATCCAAGTTCCAGGACTGTGAAAAAGGGGGGAAAGTTAGAGAGGAGGGGAAGAGGGAAAGAGAAAAAGAGAGAGAGAGAGAGAAAGAGAGAGATGTATACAGTATAAACCCAATGTGGTAACACGTACTTTATAGAATCCCAGCTCTCTGAAGGATAAAACAGGACTGAAGGTTTGAGGCTGAGCCTAGACTAACATTGAGACCCCAACTTAAACACACACATACACAAAAACACAAAACATACAAACACAAACACACACACACACACACACACACACACACACACACACATACACACACACCACACCACACCACACCATATAATCTGAGCTATGATCTGAGCCTGAGGTCTGAGGATTGGAGTGAACTGCTAGCATGGGGAAGGAAACTACAGGCTATTCCTATCACTAATCACCAAAAGCCAGAAGTGAAGGAGTGGTTCAAGTGGTAGAATAGCCTTGAGCAGAAAAAGCTTAGGGACAGTGCCTAGGTCCTAAGTTCAAGCCCCAGCACTGGCACAAATAAATGAATAAATAAATTCTAGCAACCTTCTAAAAAATTAAGTCTTGTCTTATGGGAATTATTGAAAGGTTATACATTTTTCCACCTATATAATGAGTAGAATTCCAATCTAAATCAAAGTCACCTATAGAATTAAGAAAGCCTGGAAACTATTTTTTACTATCAATTTAGATAACAAGAAATTCTTCCAATTTGTGGTTAGATAGTCGCTATAGTGAAGATGTCTAAATCCTAAATTCTCAACATTCTTTTGTGTCTGTGTGTATATTTGACTAAAAGTTCTGATATAGAGCTCTAATTTAATTACAGTTCATTGGTTAAAAAGCAAAACAAAAACAAAAAAAAGCCAAGAATCAGAAACCCTAATAGGAAAAATAATTAATAAGGTACTTGAAAACGTTTCAAGAAAACAACGTAATTGTTGTGGCTATACCAAATACATGCAAATGTACTTGATGCCTTGCCAAAATTTTCTGATAGAGCATAAACAGAAAGGAAATAACCAATGTCAACAGAATTGTGTTCAAGTGCCATGGTTTAAATTACCAAGTAAAACCATATATATATATATATACATACATATATATTCATATATATGTGTATATATATATATATGTGGAGAGCATTCAAGTCTTTTGATTATTACATCATCAAGAGTCTGCATAGAATCTTCAAATACCCTGATTCTTTCCTCTTTACCTACTTACTTTTGGAGGAAAAAAAGCAAGAAAAAGACTTTTTGTCACCCATGCAAAGCTCACATTCTACTACTGAGTTAAAACCCTAACCAAATAAGAATTTTTGAGGGTATCTTAGCAGGGAAAATGATCTTGCTCACCAAGTTATGCTTTTAATAAAACTGTTTTCACTTCTGAAACTTTCTCTTCCTAGAATTATGAGCTTGAAATCTGGCCCCACCTTTAACTAGAGTCTGGAACAAAGCTTGAATGTACGAAGTTAAACAAAGTTACACAATGAAGTAATTTTTACAAAGTGGCACTACTTTGTTAATGTTGCCAATATACTGTTCTCTTCTCAGATGTATTATGGCTCAGAGACTGAGCCTGATAACAACACTTGCTGTCCTAATAACTTACTTTTTAATTATTTACTGAACTGCCAGAAAATCAGGATCTAACCCATGTATAAAATGTCATAAAGTTGGCAGGAGAAATATTAGTGATACAAATACATAGACTGAAGAGAATCATTTACTATTACACATTTTTGTTATTGTTGTTGTTTATGTGCTTTTAATTTATTTTTAAGAAAGCAGAAGGGGATTCCCCCCCCCCCAGAAATAATCCATATTTTCTGCATTCCTACAGCATCCCATATTGGCCTCTAGTATACAAGTGACCCCTGTAGTTAAGCATGTAGCTCAGTGGTAGAACATCTACCTAGCATGGAAAAGGCACTGGCCCGGGTTTGGTCTCCAATACTACAAAAAAAAAAAAAAAAGTGACTCAATAATAGTATAAATTGTATTTTTTGGTTCAGCTTAATCCATTTGATTTTAAGTTCTTTTAGGCTGAAGACTTTTGGAATTTTGAATTCACAGGATTGACACAAGAACTCAATAAATGCTTTGTCCAAAAAAAAGAGAAATAAATGTCTAAAGAATTTACTTAGTGCATTGTATGTTGCTCTATCAAATGTAAAACAAACCAAAAAGATATGTGCATGCATATTTTATTTTGAACTTCTCTGCCAGTTTGATAACTTTTTGAAGTTTATGGTACTTCATCATCATACTGCATCCAGACCAAGTTAGGAAGTAGTTGAAATATTTATCCTTTGTGAAAAGTACTAATAGCTGGATTCAACTTATTGGTTAATCACTTAGACCAAGAGCAAAAGAGACTCGAAGGGGTATTGTCTTAAAAATTGATTTGACTAACTTGAAAAGCCAAGCCAATAAGATCTGGAATCAGGAAGATTTTTGAAAGCTGAAATTAGGTGCCAAACAATAGTAGTACAAATATCTCTCATCAGGATCAGCTAAACTCATTGTTGTAAAGCACCAATAAGGAGACCAGGAAGGGTGCCAGATGGTTCGCTTCTAGCACCTACAACTTCAGCCTTTAGTATGTGCAGCCAGGGGTGTTCGGTTACTGAATATTGACACCTAAGCATGTAGGAGACGAGTACCAGCCCAAGTACACGAGAGCGATTTGCAACGACTGCTGTATTCTCTCAGTACGCTTCAGAAGAGTCTTAAGCGTCTTACACAGAGGTCTGCTGCGGGGAGAGACAAATAATCGAAGACAGAGTGGCTAGTAAAGAAGGAAAAAAGCCGCTGAATATTAGAATATTTCCCTGAGAAGGAATGTGTGACTTCTATAGAACTGCCTGCCACCTTTCTCCACCACTCTCAAGAAGTCTACAGTTAAGAGTGTTCCGGATGGGAGTCCGGAGCGGGGGATGGGGGTGGGAGTCCGACGAGCCCGCCTTCAACTGCTAGCAAAAAGCCCTCCACAATCACCCCCACCCCCGAGCGCAGAGGTTCCGAGACTCCCGACCCCTCGCCTCGTGGCGGAGGGGCTCACGGCCCCTGGCTCCAGGTACTCCCCTCACCTCAGAAGTGGCGGGAGAAAGTGTGCGCAGAGAAGCCACCACGCATCCTCAGACTCCGGAGGACCGAGAGAGAGAAGGCCCTTACCTGGCTAAAAAGCTGTCTTGCCTCAGCGCTGTCCTGCCTAAGGTCCCCGGCGCCCGTTCCGTCTCACGCACCTGTCGCCCGCCGGGCTGCTGCACCTACACCTCTACGGCCCCGCCCCACTCCCCACTCAGAGTCCCGCCCCGGGCGCCGCCTACTGTCGCGAGGGCGCGCACGCTCGCCCGAAGGCGTACGGGAGGCGGGCCGCGTGCGCGCCACCGGCCGAGGGCGCGGCTCCCCGTGACTGCTCGGGTCGCTCTCGCGCGGCGCTGGCGTTGCGAGGGGAGTGGCTTTTTCGCCAGAGGCGTCTCCTCCTTCCACGGGCTGTTCTCTCAGGAGTTGGCGCGACGTGCCCTTTGGACTCCATTTGAGCCCTAACCCCTCTCTGATTCAAGGTTACCGCAGTTTGACTCACGAGCCACCCAGAGGTTTGGCCTAAACCGAGCAGTAGGCCAACTGGGTTCCTGGTGCTCTCTGGGTAAGTTCTGTGCAGGGAGGGTGTCTTAAGAGAAAGCCTTGTGGTGTAGTGGAAAGAGCTATACATTCACCCCTCGCTTGGCCACCTGACTTGCATTAAAGAGAGCAGATGATGTTCAAGTTGTCTAGCAGTTATTTTTATCTCAACACTCAGAATAGGTTGTGTGGGAAGGGCTTAGAGGCCACCCGGAGCCATCCATCTCCCAAAGTCTTGTCCCAGGATTCTGTGCGGCTGCACGATATGTTCATTGGTTAAACGTATCCTTTCCTCCAAGTATAGTGGGGTTTCAGTTTTCTGAAGGATTTGTGAAGTTCACTGGAGATGGAGCTCGCGTGGTAGTGTGAGGCCCTTAGTTCAAACCCCAATACCAGCACACACACACCAACAAAAGAAAGAATTCGTGAGGCTGGCTAAGTATTAGAAGGGCTAGTGGTGGTAAATGCTTATGTAAACACTCCCAAAGCAGCTAATGAAAATGTTTAAGAACAATTTCCAACAGCAGATTGCTCCACTCCTTTATTCAAGTATCTGGCGTAGACTGATTTCTGAATAAATGTAGTTCAAAGAAAAACTTTAGACAAAATGAATTGAACTGTATAAACATTAAAAGATTACTGAATAGGCATTACTTAAAGTAGAAGAGATCATCAACCTTTGCTAGTAGGCTAGACTGTAAGTCCCAAGGCAGAACAAGGAAGTAAAGAAGTTGGCTACAACTAGGCTTTGCCTTATTTGGTTATGTATGGTCACATGGTCAGTCCATAGTTATGTAACCATTGGACTGATTAGTCAGTTGGCTATCTTCAATCTAAATCAGTTTGGACGGCTTTCTGGGAACAAAAATGACCTTAGGCTGATGGCCTATTGATTATTTTGCTTTAAACTGTCAAGCATGAAGACTCTAGCCAAAGTGGCAGTCACAAGGGGAATGGTAGCAAGATATAACCTCCTCCTCCCCTCCCCCTTATGGGATCTGCACACTAGGCTAGCTCCCTACCACTGAACTGAGCCCTGCATGTTAAAGAACATAGATTTTTGTGCTCCGGTAAATGTATTCCTTGCATTTTGTTTGTCCTGGGGCTTAAACTCTGGGCCTAGGTGCTGTCCTTGAGCCTCTTTGTGCTCAAGGCTAGCATTCTATCACTTGAGCCTTGGCACCACTTCTGGCTTTTTCTAAGTAGTTTGTTTATTGGAGATAACAGTCTCCCAGACTTTTCTGCTCACCCCAGTTTCAAACTGTGATCCTCAGATCTCAGCCTTATGAGCAATTAGATTTATAGGTGTGGCCCACCAGTCCCCAGCTATCTCCCAAACTTTTTTTTTTTCCTCTCAAACTTTTAACAATTATTATTTGTGACTGGGATCGGGTAGCTCACATTGTAATCTTAGTTATTCAAGGGACATCTGAGAATCCTGGTTTGAAGCCAGCCCAGACAGGAAAGTTCATGACTCCAATTAACCATCACAAAGCTGGAAGTGGGGTTTAAGTGGTAGAGTGCTAGAGCTCTGAACATGGCTCAGGGACAGTGCCCAGGCTCTGAATTCAAGCTCCAAGATGGAACCAAAACCAAAAAATTTTTTGCATTCTACCACCTGAGCCACAGTTGTGTCTCTGGCTTTTTCCTGGTTAATTGGAGATAAAAATCTCATGGACTTTCTTGCCCCAGGTAGCTTTGAACCTTGATCTTCAGATCTCAGCCTCCAGAGTAGGTAGGATTACAGCTGTGAGCCACTGGCCTTTAGCTCTATTACTGTTTTTTAAAAATCAAGTAACAAAGGGACCTAAATAGACTAAGACACAACCTGAGTCAGAGTTTTGGACCAGATTGTATGCCAATTACTTATTCTCCTAAAGCCTCCTTTTCAAAGCAGAGCTGGCAGGGGCTGGGAAGGTAGCTCAGTGGTAGAGCACATGCCTTGCATGCCAGAGGCCCTAGGTTCGATTCCTCAGCACCACATAAGCAAAAAGAAAAAAAGCTGGAAGTGGAACTGTGGCTCAAGTGGTAGAGCGCTAGCCTTGAGCTGAAGAGCTGAGGGACAGCACCCAGGCCCAGAGTTCAGGCCCCATGACTGGACCCAAAAAAACAAACAAACAAAAATCAAAGCAGAGCTGGCAGTATACCACAGCTGGCTTTTATGTTTGCAAGGTTGATTACTATTGTATCAGGGATTTTTATGAGTCAAGTTGTTTAGCACAGCCATAATTTAAAAACAAATTATATAATTTTATAATTAAAATATATGAAAACAAAGGTAATAAATATCCCAAACTCATCCCTTTGTGTTTTGTTTTTTATTTTACTAATAATTCTACTCAGGTTATTAGTCAAGTTTGTCTACTATAATGGAAATAGTATATAGTGTAAGTATATCTGCCATACTCTATTCTGAAATGTTCACTGTAATGGCCATATTTTTATACATGGAGATTGGAATGATTTATTACTTCAATGATTTTTCTAAACCAGGTTTCAACAAATATTTTCTTTTTTTTTTTTTTGGATCCGGTCGTGGGGCCTGAACTCTGGGCCTGGTCGCTGTCCCTCAGCCCTTCAGCTCAAGGCTAGCGCTCTACAACTTGAGCCACAGAGCCACTACCGGCTTTTTTCTTTTTGCTTATGTGGTACTGAGGAATCGAACCCAGGGCCCCAGGCATGCAAGGCAAGCGCTCTACCACTGAGCTACCTTCCCAGCCCTCAACATATTTTCTGTAAAAATTTAATATAATTTACTGGCTCAGGCCTGTGATCCTAGCTACTGAGGAGGCTGATATCTGAAGATTGAGATTTGGAGCCAGCCCAGACTGTAAAGTCCATGAGATTCTTTTTTTTTTTTTTTTTGGGGTCCGGTCGTGGGGCCTGAACTCTGGGCCTGGGCGCTGTCCCTCACCTCTTCAGCTCAAGGCTAGAACTCTACCACTTGTGCCTTAGCACCACTTCCGGCTTTTTTTCTTTTTGCTTATGTGGTGCTGAGGAATCAAATCCAGGGCCTCATGCACGCAAGGCAAGCACTCTACCACTGAGCCACCTTCCAGCCCAGTCCATGAGATTCTTATCTCCAATACCACCAAAAAAGCTGGAAGTGGCACTGTGGATCACGTGGTAGATCGCTAGCTTTGAGCAAAAAAGAGCTCAGGGTCAGTGCCCAGACCCTTATTTCAAGCCCCATGACCAGCAAAACAAAACAACAACAACAAAGAATAAGTGTAGCCATGATCCCGTGAAGCTTCATTTATAAAAATAGGCAGCAAGGGCTGGGAAGGTGGCTCAGTGGTAAAGCACTTGCCTTGCATGCATGAGGCCCTGGGTTCGATTCCTCAGCACCACATAAGCAAAAAAGAAAAAAACTGGAAGTGGCGCTGTGGCTCAAATGGTAGAGCCCTAGCCTTGAGCTGAAGAGCTGAGGGACAGCACCCAGGCCCAGAGTTCAGGCCCCATGACCAGACCAAAAAAAAAAAATAGGCAGCAAGCTGGTAGAGAAAATAGTATTGCAGCCTTTGTATTGTGAATAGCCCAGGAAATTGAGTAAGTCTTAGTAAACTATTATCTGCTTCAACAAAGATATTGCTCACATTATTGATGTGAGTGACATTTTAACAAACCTTTTACTGAGTAACAAAATGAAAAGATCAACATCCATGTTTGAACTGTATTCTTTTCTTTTTTTTTTGAAGAGGACAACCAAACCCATTTATTTAAGTCTTTTGAATAGATCTGCATTTTATCTGAATCACAATAGTAATCTGACTTACAGTGAACAAAATAAGCATTTCAGCCACGAGCTGGGTGTGGTGATACAGGCCTGTAACACCAACACTTAGGAGGTTGAACCTGGAGGTCATAATGAGTCCTTGTGTCAAAAATCAACTCTATCAGTTGAGCACCAGTGACTCATGCTTCCAATCCTAGCTACATGGGAGACTGAGATGGGAGGACTGCAGTTCTAGAGCAACCCAGGCAGGAAAGTCTCCACATAGAGAAGCTGGGAACCCAAGTATACATCCCATGGTGATATACACTAGTGACCACAGCCAAGATGAACTGTATTCTTTTTTTTTTTTTTTTTTGTCGGTCGTGGGGCTTGAACCCTGGGCCTGGGCGCTGTCCCTCAGCTCTTCAGCTCAAGGCGAGCACTCTACCACTCTTGAGCTACAGTGCCACTTCCGGTTTTCTGGTGGTTTATTGGAGATAGGAGCCTCACAGTCTCTCCTGCCCGGGCTGGCTTTGAACCGCGATCCTCAGATCTCAGCCTCCTGAGTAGCTAGGATTACAGGCGTGAGCCACCAGCGCCCGGCTTGAACTGTATTCTTTTTATAGTGAGGTGAGCCCCATCTCTTAATTAGCAATCAATCATTTATTTATACTTTGGTTGTATAAAACATTGTTGGGGGAAAAAAATGATCAAAAGCTGGATGTTAGGGGCTGGGAAGGTGGCTCAATGGTAGAGTGCTTGCCTTGCATGCATGGGGCCCTTGGTTCGATTCCTCAGCACCACATAAGCAAAAAGAAAAAAGCCAGAAGTGACGCTGTGGCTCAAGCGGTAGAGCGCTAGCCTTGAGCTGAATTGCTAGGGACAGCGCCCAGGCCCAGAGTTCAGGCCCCACGACGGACCAAAAAAAAAATTTCCATTCTTGCCGGGCGCTGGTAGCTCACGCCTGTAATCCTAGCTACTCAGGAGGCTGAGATCTGAGGATAGCGGTTCAAAGCCAGCCCGGACAGGAAAGTTCATGAGACTCTTATCTCCAATAAACCACTAGAAAACTGGAAGTGGCACTGTAGCTCAAGTGATAGAGCGCTTGCCTTGAGCTGAAGAGCGCAGGGACAGCACCCAGGCCCAGAATTCAAGCCCCATGACCGACAAAAAAAAAAAATTTCCATTCTTGAAGCCTCAAGAATGGAATGTGGCTTTGTGGTAGAGTGCTTGCCCTGTATGCATAAAGCCCTGAGTTTGATTCCTTAGTACCACACAAACAGAAAAAACTAGAAGTGGTGCTGTGGCTA